AATGACTAACTCAAGCTGAGCTTCTTTCCCTTCTCCAGATTGTTAATTTGAAAACATTTTTTCTAGATTTCTTCTACATTTTCTTGTGTAGGGAATACATGAACCGTTTTCTCTCTCAAAAAATATCCCTGGAGTGAGAAAACTGCATGTTGCCTAGTTTAAAAAAATTGCTTATTGCACTGGAAATTATATTTGTGGAATTGTTTGTCATCTAGGTTACAATAAAGCTGAATCATCAGCAAGAGGGTTTAAGAACTGCACAGTGGGCCCTCACAGAGCCAGCCTTGTCCTAGGGGCACGCAGTCTCTGCTGTTTCCACTCCTTTTTCACTTTCCACAGCTGTTACTGGTGTGTTGGCTTTGCTGCGGTGCAGAGCTTGGTGACCAGTGCTGTCTGGGAGGGAGTTCACAAGTAGGGAATGGTGAGAGGCGTTCTGAAATGCCAAGGGTACATGGGCACAGGAGCTTTGAAAAACCAACCAGTATTTTGTGTCACTTTCCCTTTCATGTAACATACTGTCTTTAATCTCATTGGAAGCTGAGAAATGTGCTGGTGTATCTATAGCCGTTACAGATTCATAAAGAGATACAATATAAAAAAAGTCATGCCTAAGCAATGGGTTTAAACCAGAGAATGTGAGTGTCATTCACATTGGGTTTTGAAAGTACTGCAGTTTGAATTTGTTCAAAGTTGGCTGTTAACTCTCATCTATTGGAAAGTCAGGAGCAAAAGACGAGGATTCTGTCTGTAAATGACAGAAGGTGTCTGTAATGAAGAATTTTGTTTCTGGCCAGCTGTAGCTAGATGGCATTATCCCTGATCTCCCTTGTGTGATGGAAGTGGGTGTGCAATGAAGAAGAAAATATTATATGGACTGCCTAGTATCAGTCTATTAATTTTTATATGTGGTAATACTCTGTGAACACCGTATGAGGCTCTGTTAGGAAAAGTTATTCTACATTGCATTGTAAAATATTCTCATGTGCATGCATTAGTCTAACATACTGGTTTAGTGAATAAAGGAGGGGAAGCCAGTGTTTATGCTTGTCAGGTTGGAAAATAAAGACTCCTACAGTGGTGAAAGGGCTTGAGGGTGATTGGATGGATCCTGTGGTCAATGAGTGCTTGCACAGCTGGTGTTGACAACAGGGATTTGGCTTTTATGACCATGGAACTCTCTTTGAACGTCAAGGACAGTTAGGAAGCGATGGGATCCACCTGACCAAATCAGGAAAAAGCATTTTTGCCATCATGCTGGAAAACCTGGTGAGGAGAACTTTTCCCTAGGAATGGATAGGAGAGAGCTGATGACATACAGACAAGTGAGGAAATAACAGAGCAGATCGTAAGGAAGGGATGCGGGGTGATGTGGACAAGAGAGACATCAGAAATTACACACAGGACTGAAGGGTGTCCACCTAAGTGAGGAGGTACCAAGAGAGGACAGCATTGCAGCAGAAGCATTATCGCTTTTCCTGGAAAATCAGCACAACTGGATGTCTCTGAGCATGGGGAACAAACAGAAAGAATTAGAGGTCTGTTTGGAGTTGCAGGACCATAATCTCATTGGGATCGTGGAGGCATGGTGGGATAGTTCACATGACTTGGGGTGCTGCTGTGAATGGATAGAGGCTCTTTAGGAAGGACAAGAAGGGAAAGCAAGGAGGGGGAGTCATCTTTTTTTTGTTAGCAATGGGAAGGTCTGGAGCTCTGCCTAGGGATGGGTGATAAACCAGCAGAGAACTGATGGGCCAGGATTAGAGAGCAGCCAGTGTGCATGATGCTGTGTTGAGTGTCAGCTACAGACACACGAATGATGGGTAGAATATCTAGAAGCAACTATACCTAAAATTACTTGAACTTTTCATTTTTAAAGCTTTTTCCACTTCCTTCCAATTTGGGAATGACATTTTTCAAGTCTGAACCCTTCTCAAAAAAGTATTTTTGGAAAGTCTGAACAAAAACAGTTCAGCCATCTTTGTGTAAAATGACGGCTATGAAAATATTCATTTGCTGTGACACATTTTTGGCAGATGGCTATTGAACAGCTTTAGGGCCTCATTAGAAATGTCCAAAAGTGTTTTTAAAATCATTAGATCATTATTATTGTTTGTAATAATGCTTAGAGACTCCACCCAGCAATCGGAGACTTAAAGCACTAGATAGCCCGCAAGCGGCAATGAGAAGGCGGTGCTAGCAGGAGAACTTGCAGGAGAATTTGCTGGTGGCAGTGGCTGCGTATCTGCATATCCAGGGGTCAGCAGGACACAGCAGCAAAAATGCTGCCGAGTTGGCAAACCATGGCCAGTTATGGAGATTTACCTGGATGCGGGTCCACACCGCTGCTAGCATTTGGCGTGTGGTGTCAGAGAACTGAAAAGAAGGGGTTCTGCCATTCCCCTAGCCACTGGGCAAGGGCTGGAGCCATCCCAGCACCGCAGCCCCCCCGCTCATTTGCCCAGCCTCTCTCCTTGTCAGCCTGGGAATGAGATTTGCTAAGGGGAGTAAGGAAGTATTGCAAAAAAAGCCAGCTTTCATTGAACAATAAAGTGTTTGTTTCAGGGCAATTGTTGTCATCAGCGCTGATGACAACAACCCAGGCACAGGGACAAACTTGGCATTTGAGCAAGAAGGTGGACTATCTGAAAGAAAAGTTTTAAAATTGCCAGGAGATGGGAATAATTATGTAGCACTTCCCACTCGCGTTTTGATCTTGTTACACAAGCTTGAGTGAATGTGAAATTAGATCCTCTCCTTATGGAAACGTTCCAGATTAGTTTCACTTGATACATTTTTGGTTCCATTATTAGAGCTACATTTGTCCCAAACTTTTGAAGTTTGACTTTATTAAACTGTTTCTAATGGCCATATTTTATGAATTCTTCTTTCACATGTGTGTCTATACAATAAAGCTGTGCCTTCTGAAGCCACAAGTGTGGAGGCGTTTCATATTGGTGGAGAACGCGGTGTTCCCTGAAGCTGTTCGTCTCGGATCCGTGCTTTCCATGGCACCCCGGGATCAAAAGCTTTCAGATGCTCCTCCTGACAAGTGCCATTAACGTTGGGTTGAGGCAAGTGGACAGTCTTGAAGCTTTTCGATTAAAAATTTTCAGGCATTTTTCAATAAACATTTCAACTGTTTATTTCGTGGAAAGAAATACAACTTTAAAAAATCTAACATCATACGACCTTTCAACTAATACACTGCTGAATTGGAAGAATAAGAAAAGCCTTTATTTATTGCTTCCTTTTCCCCAAGCTGTTCTTTTTAGTTGCATTAAAATGGAATATATTTGGGCATAAAAGATGACAGCTCCTTTTCATGGCCTTTTACTGTATTTTTGCTGTGGCTGGTCAGATGCTTTTATCTAAAGCTTTGTTCTTTACAGTGGAAAAATTTTCAGAGGATTTAAGAGACTGATAGGAGAGTCTTCAGCGAAAATAAAATTTTCACACAATACTTAGCGCTGATCAGGAAATGGGATTTCATGGTGGCAAAGCTCCATGCTTTGTTGAAGCTTGTGTTGAGAGTGGTGGAATTCAGGGTTCGTATCTCAGCTCAGCAGACATGCCCATTTGCACTCGGGTACCACCCGTGGTAGGGGCTGGGGGGGGGACATTCTCCAGTGTCCCGAGGAGCAGCCTGCACCTGTGGTGGCAGCTCAAATGTGATTCTTCTGCCAGGACTTTAGCAAGTGACTGTTATGGGAGGAAGCCGCTATGGGCTTCTGGGGCTGCCCTTGCCGGGTTGTCCTGGGACACAGCTGGGTGGAACCAGAGGGGTTCCAGAGGTGGAGCCCAGCATGTTGCTGGGGAAGTGGAGGTACCTGACAAATGGATCAGATGGAAGAACATCTCTGAATAGTGCTCGGAAAGGGAAAACTTGCAGGACTTTGCCATGGGGAAAATGCAAAGTGTAGCCCGAGAGGGCCAGGAGCAGGAAAACTTTTATTCTGATCAAGTGACAGCTGGTAGTTCAAGGAGAAGATTAGGAATAAGAACAAAGATTAGCGTTTGATTTAACCATTCTTGTGGCATCTTTTAAATAGGACAAGAGAGGAAATAATCCCTGGCTAGTCTGGTGCTGTGGCATCGGCCGGTCTTCCAGCAGGGAGTGCCCAGGGAGATGGCTGGGGCAGTGATGGTGGGATGGGATGGGCACGGCTCCTCGCGCTGCCTTCTGCAGAGCCAGCCCTGCCTGTGCTGGTAATTCACATTTCCCCTCAGGAGTCAGAAATGTTCTTTGATGCTGAGTGATTATAAAATTGCAAAACTGGCAGTAGTAAGGGCCTATTAACTGAGGCACCTTCCCCTGGCTGCAGGGGATTGTTCAGGGGGAAATGGGTAATTTACAGGTGGGAATCCAACCAATTAGTGCCCTAATCGTGCCAGCTCTGCCGCTGGGATGTGCCGTATCGCCTGGCGGAGCGGGTCACGGAGGTTCAGTCTCAGATCACCGGGGAGGCGGGTGTATCCCTGCCCGCCTGTCACGGCCCCGCCGCCGGGCGCTCCCAGGGGAGGGTTAACCGACTACCCCGACCCCGGGTCCCGCCACCCTCAGCCGGGGCGGGGGCCGCAGCGAGGAGCCGTGCCGGGCTCCGGCTGGCGGCAGCTCCCGCCGCCGGTGACGTCATACACCTAACCGCTCCACCGGAGGGATGGGGCCGGGACGGGGCGTGCGGACAGCGCCCG